TCGTCGCTGCTTGGCTTTACTTGCAGGCTGTTAAGGTTGCTGGACGATGGGCCAGCAGGCGAGTAAACCGCTCCCCAAGATAGTGAGGAGGGCGGGAGACCCAATGAACGTCTTCAGTATGTCTTTAGATTACTGCGCCCGCCATCCGTTCACCCGCTGAAGATATAGCAGTTTCGTCCCCGCTTTTCGGCGTAGGCAGCCGTGGATGCAGCGCACGAGGCAGTCAAAGTGGAAGATGAACAACTCACTTTAGTCCTCTTCTTTGCTGTCATTGTGCGTGTTTCTTCTGCATTGCACTCGTTGGTGAAACATAACGTCTTCTGCATGTGTTTAGTTTGCAATGATACACTGCGTCCTCTGCTTTTCTGTGGCTTGTGTGCGTCTCCTTCAGACCTGCCATCTGTTCACCAGGAGATCATATACCCCACCCACAAGCGCACTCTTAATTTTTCAATCTGCAGATGTTGGCAATCAAGTGAGTTTGGTGTGCGTCTTCTTTCCTGATGGTACTTTTCGCTATGCTCTCCTCTGGGGGTCCAGTCGGCGCAGCTCAGCGCAGTTACGCCACTGCTGGGGCTACACCACTCATGGGACCCTTCAGAAGTTTGAACTGTGACTCTCTGCTCTTTCTGTTTTCAGCGAAGTTTCCCATCTGCGACAACTCACACAAGGTGCTACAGAAGCAGGGCTGCAACTGTGGTGAGCAGACGATTCTCGCCCACCACAAACGGCCGCTGGTGCTTGCGTGTGCTTCTTTTCTAATGTGTATCCCGCCATTGCTTTTAAACTCTTAGGACTAAACACGGGAGAAGAAGCAGTCGTTATTTTTCTTAGAATTGCCAGATGATGAAGGTCGGTTTGCTAGCAATGCACTGCAGGCCCAGCCATGCTAGAAGTGAGGCAAGCGCCAAGCATCACGGAGCCTCGGGAGTTCAGGAGCACTTCCCAAAATAACAAGGATACGACATCAGTGGGAGCCTTATTTGGCGGCGCCGCGTCTGTGGCTGCTGCTGCTGCAGGTTAGTTGCGGATGGACCTAGTTAATATTTCACAGTTTTTTTCTCTACATTGTCAACTGGCGTATGCTTCTCTGAGTCTGCTTATTTCCCTCCTCGATGTTCGTTCCTTTGTCGTATCTTACATGCTTAAAGAATGCGCTTGTACAACTGCAGACGTAAGTTCGTCAATTTCTGTGCTGTGTACGAAATACTCGTAAATCGTACATAGCACAGAAGTCGACCTACTCGCATCTGCATTGTTCCTTCGCAACTGAGCAGGAAAAATGCATTTTCCCTTCTCCTGCTCAGTTGTGTGCCTCAAACACCCGTACCAAGCTTGCTAGGTGTTTCGGATTGTGTACGCACTCAAATTCAGCTTTCACATTCAGCTTTCGACTGCATGCTTCCCTTCTTGAAGCATCGGGCAGCAACTAACACCATACTCTCAATCCGCAAATGAGTGTCTTATGCCTTTNATCTGAACTATAACAGACGGCTACGTGCAGTGGTCTAAGTCACTGCCTTACGTAGCATATTTGCTGTTAATAAGCGCATGGATTTTAAGAAACTGCAGTGTTTGCAGATTTGGCACTCGTGATCTATTTGTACTGACGTAGTTACTGACTCTCGATGTTTTCATTGCTGGATTGCATAACTTATGTGTGCCCTTTTGATGTTTCTGGCGGGTGGTTATCACTTGGACGCCGCCGCACGGAATATCTCTCGTCAATTACTTCAGCAGAACTGCTTCATAAAAATTGTTTTGTAGCCGATGCACAACGTTGGCCTTATGCTGCAGCAGCAGCTTCAGTGGCGGGAACTCCTCGTATTATCTGAGGTGCGATGGCGTACCAATTAGGCGAAGTTGCGTTACAACGGGGAAGAAACTCTCAAGCCAATTTAACTCCTCTTAAAAGTGTACCGGGGTTAAGCAGTTAGCATGGGGATGAGTGCACAGGGTGTGTACTGCTGTAGGGTTTGCGATGTCTGGTAGGCTTGGCTTTAGGTCCCATATTCATTCCTCCTCCCTGCAATAGACATCAAAACCACTGCTTAGCGAGCTAGTGTTGAATGACCCGGCGACGTCAAGCGAACAAAGTGCAGTGTCTGAATAGTGCATACAATGTTTGCACGCTGTGACGGCCCGTGACAGTATGTTGCTTTGTCAAGGGCGCTGTTGTTCGCTTGACTCGCCGGGTTATTCAAAACTAGCTCACTAAGGCATTCCCGAAGTCAGTTATGCCCGTGTAGTATCCGGAACAAATCATACACGCTCGTAGTTTCGCAAAATCTCCGCTTGTTGCTCTGCCGTCGGGCGGTTGCCCACGACACAATTGACTGAATCCTGCATATATGAGAGTGGCATATGCTCCGCCTATTTACCCTTCTGCTTCCACAGCCTCGTCAACAAATTCCTCTGCGCTCGAGTTAAGTGGCAGGGGCGACCACCCGTTCCTCGACTCCAGCTACACACTATTGCCGCTGCCGCCGCAACTATAAACTGGTTGTGCTGTTCGCTAGCGGTAAACATCACACTATCTGCTTAAATACCGACATTTGTCGATGATCACCTAAGGTGCTTTGTGCGACGCGCTTCGGGAAGGGGTGCTGCCTTCCCAGGAGCCGGGGCTGTGGAGATCCGGAAGCAAGAGTACTGGAGACGTTGTCTGAAGCTGTTGGCGATTGCGTTTTCATTCTCTGCCCGGATACGTTGTTTGGCATTTTTAAGTAGCTCCGCCATAGGAGCAGCAATGTGAAT